TGAAGGGTACAATACCCCCGTCCGCGTCTTCTGCCGCGAGAGGGGAATTAACTTTCAGTCGTTTTGGACGTTGACGGCGAATCCGAGGTTGGTGAGGAGTTCGTTTGTGAGGCAGGTTGCAAAGGGTGCGGGCGTGAGTGACGAGATTGCGTTTTATGGGTTGGTTCTTGGGTTGGAGGGTGTCAGTGTGTTGGATGGGACTACGAACGAGGTGAGGATGAGGGAGGACCTTGAGGGCGTGGAGAAGGTGGTGGCTTGGGCTGGTGGTGATGGTGCTGAGATGTGGAGGGAGAGTTTGGCGGCGTTGAAAGCTGTGCTTGGTGAATCTTGAGGCATACTCAAGAGGGAAGACACCGATCACTAAGTCCGGGTTGGTGAGAAGTACCCAGCAGTAGGTTTGTCTATTCGAGCGGAGAAAAGTCTTGGGACTCCGCGAAACTATTCATGAAACGCCCAAGAATGCAGCTCGTCCTGGGTATTTCCTCAGTCCTGCTGCTAATCTTCTCTCGCCAGAGCCCTGAAATGGCTCTATTGCAAGAAAACACCGTCTCATTCCCCTCTCTCGATATTTTGACCATCCCCAACCCTCATCCAGGACACCGTCCTGGCAGAAACAAGACTCGCTGTGGTATCTAAAATCCTAATAAAGAAAAAGCACGAGCCGATATGGCTATCGTGTTGTCGTCGTCGTCTGCAGCCTCATCCTCGTATCGTATCCTGTCCACCTCATCATTATGGAAAGAAACCTCTCTGCCCCCATGCAATGTCATTAGTCGTCCGTATTGTATTCCTGGTCGTCCACCAAAACCACCACCGTTAACGTTGCCGCGTATGCCTCGCGGATAGCACAAGCCATACTGGGCAATGTTAGCAATGATTCCATAAAACTAAAGGGTCTCCAGAAACTAACCATGTCTTGCGAATATCGGCAATCACAGCACTCAGTCCCCAGTGTGAACACCAGGCCCGTGCCAAGACCTCGTTGTCCCTCACCCCAAATGCCTCCACTACCAACACCTGCTCTTCGTCGATTTGATCCTGGCTGCTTGCTGTGTGGGGGCCTGCTGTCGAGCTTGTCCTCGAACTACGAGCACTTGGAGACTGACCATACAGACCACCCCAATCCTTGATGTTCATGATCTCATCGGCCTTGACGGTTTGGAAGACGTAGTCGAAGAACAGTGGATGAGGACCCCCTGAGCACGGCCAGGCTGAGATAAAGGACACATCGTACGTGAGGCGCATAGGCCAGGACACCCCATCCACTGCGAATTGCACCGTCGCATCAAAAACCTTCGGCGCTGGCGGTGGTTCCTGGAAACGGTCCGGGACAGCCTTGAAGCTCAGTAGCTCGATTCGGACAGTATCAACAATGTCGTCTGCGTCGGGAGCCACGAGCTTGTATTCCTTAACCGGGAATACCTCAGCCGGGGGACCCAGAGGGTCAGATCGTTCGCTCATGGACTGTACGTCTTCGGGGGTCATGCGCTGCCGTGGACGCCGAGAGCGCACGCGGGCGATTTGCGATCGGCCAAGATCGGCGGTCGGACGGGCTGGCCCGACCCAACCTGCCAATGATCTACAAGTCGGGGCAAGGACCTTTCCGACAATCGAAGCAGCTGTCCAGTAGGTGTAACTATTCCTATATTGAAACCCACAGTGAGGATGTAGGTGCGTCATCATGGCCAAGGAGTCGGTTGCCTTGTCGGGGTCAATGTCGATGAGGGTGTTCATGATGAGGAATGGAAACGTTGTCTTTGCTTGTTAGCGTGTGCGCGAGGAACCTCTTCGTTGTCAGTGAGCGGAACTTACGCCTGGCAGTACAAGACCGCTAAAGAATGCCAACGCGTCGGAGCTGATAATGTCCAATGTTGCGTCCATGTCCCTCTGCTTCATTTTATCAAGGGTCTGGCTCAGGTTTGGCCACTTCATCATCTGAGCAAAGCGCCGTAGCATCTTGATCTGGCGCTTCTTCAGTCTGAAGCGTAGGTTGACTGTCGCAAGTTAGATCTGGCCAAGAGAGATAGGCACACGTAGACAGCTTACTATCTTCAACCGACTTCCCATAACCCTCAACCCTTACATGTTCCCGCCAGCGTCTGGCGAGCGCAAGATCCCACTGGATGGTGGGCGGTAATTGAGGCAGTAGCTTCTCCTTGGCCCATTCCCCATGCAATCTCGAATTGATCCGTAGATCAAGTTCCATGCTGAGAACGAGTTGGTGGCAAAACTTGATATACTGCTGTTGGCTTCCGTGGCTTGGGTCGAAAATGAAGCGAGTGACAACTTGATTCTTGGGGTTCGTAAAGTCGATCCAGTCCGGACGTGACAAGACCATGATCAGATCCGTAATCTGCTTGTCGAGTCCCTTGTGCGGGCTCATCATCTTGTCGGGGTCGCGGAGGAAGCGGCGATATAAGCTTTTGTACATCCACTCTTCGTCATCGTCTTCCAACCCCGCCTCCAGCTCCTTCAGACGCTCAAAGATACGATCCAAGCCGACCTCTCGTGCCGTTGCGCCAGAGTCTCTCAAACCGATCGTTGGAGGCTTGATGCTAGCCAGACAAGCCCATTGGTTCAAGGTGATGGTGCCGGGCTGTTGACCGTAAAAGTAGGCGAAGCTCGGCTGTTCCAAGGACTCCCACGGATATATCGCTGAACCGCCACCCTGCATACGAAGGGTCATCAGTTGGGTCATGTGGTCGTGCAAATTGACAACATCCGTTTCTTCGGCATCGTTGCCGGCGGACGTGGTGTAGAGGGCGTAATAATGATCGGATGCATGGGGTACAGGACGCTTGTGGCCTTTGTGGGCCGGGGCGCCGCGGGAGACGAGTTCCATGGCATGGCCAAGGGTGAGCTCCTCTTGACTTGACATGCCGGAGGGCGGCCATTCTGTTAGTGGTCCCTGCTCGAGGATGATGCCATTGGGATGCGCGCGACCTTTTCCTTTGGCTCTTGCGGGATCAGGCCTTCTAGGTCGTCTGCGCGAACGAGGGTGGTCTGGGTGAAGATTTGGGTGGCCGTTGGGAGACTCGACTGTTCTCGAGGCCTTTGGCATGTCTGGTAATGACTTGCGTCTCCGCGGGACTACATCTCCATCGCTCGCCCTGCGCGATTCTGGATTCTCCTGCAATTTTTGTCAGTCAAAAAGTAATGAAATGCAGCGCGTGTGTCTGTCACGGCGCAAAGTGTTTGGGTTGTCGAACCAGTCTCCCTTTCTTTGCCAGGCTCCTGTTGCGAAAGATGCTGCCCCAGAAGCTCTTCTTCTCGCTGCGGCCCTCTCGATCTCTCTCCTCTTTAACGTCTGCCATGTCTCATTAACGAATTATGTGTGGGTGACCTCGAGGCCGTGTCATGCGCTTGAGGAAGTAATTGTAAAGTGATAAACAAACAATGTTTGTTAGGTTGATTGAGGCCCGGGCGGGAATGGGCGCAAGTGAAGTCGTCAGTCTACGTGGCTGCGCACCATGCGCGTCACGAGGAATGCGCCTGTCGCAGACAGCTTGAAGTGCTCAGCATCGGCTATAGTACTATTCAGGCGTAGAGGTGTTGGTGGTTAAAGATATAGTCCTTTGGCGATTAGAGCAGCAGTTGCAGCATCCTTTTTTGGAAGCGCGGCGATCTAGAGCGATTTATCAAGATCGGTATCCGTGGGAACAGGACGTCTTCGTCGGAGGTTGGGTCCAAGGTCTGTGTGGTGAATGTCTGTGAGGCAATCTGAAAGAGATCAGCGAAGCATCTCAAGTCGAGGTGCCGCAACAAGTCGAGGTGGGCGCAGCGCTATGCAAAGCTGGGAAAAAGCCGTTGTGCCCCGTAAGGTAGCTTGTTGCTCACGGCCGTCCTCGCAGCGGTCCGCCCGCAAACCACAAATTATCGGGCAAGTCAAAGTTGGGAGCAAAAAGATGGTGGTTGTCCAGTCGTGGCGCTCACTGCAGGTCGAGGTGGTGGTTCACGTGTCGCAGAAGCATGAGATGACGGAGTGAGTCCGGGCGGCGGCGGGTCTCCTTTGGTTTTTGGGTTTCTGGGTTTCGGGGGCAGTGAGGGAGAGAGTGAATGAGTGGTGGAGGGTGAGTGTGAGAGGTGTGGTGCGTGGTGAGTGAGTGCTGTGCGGTAAAGTGGTGAGTGAGTGATGCGTGTGAGAGTGAGCGAGCGGGCACCCGGGAACGGGAGGAACCAAAGTGAGTGGACGGGGCAGTACGGCACATTGACTGATGCGATGCAACGGAGCGGCGATGGACACCAGGACACGACAGCTGCGGCGTTTTTAGATCCAATGCCATTGAATTTTTCTTTCTTTTCTTTTCCAACGCAGGGCTGCAGTTGCTCCAGTTGCTGCGGACATGTCTCGCTAGTTTTCATCTCCTGCAGGTCGCTGGTTCCTTGCTTCACATTTCTCCTCCGTGATGGGATCTACCCAAGGTAATTACCAACCTGCCTTAGTATACATTCTATCGCCCTAGAAAGATGGAAGGTACCGCGGTGGGGGAGATGTCCGTCACTGGCCGGATGGATGGTCGCGGGTCTGCAAGCCTGGTCAGGAAAGGTCAAGTAAGGCTACCTACCTGCCTATCCGTGCCTTCTTCCCACTTGCAACTCACTAATACCGCGCATACGGAAAGGAAGGGACGGATAGACGTTCATGTAAGCGACATTTCGCTAGAATAGAACAACTAAGATGAAGGCAGGCAAGTGTCACGGATACCTTCCTTAGCTTCATCTTAGACGCGGGAGCAGAGGAGCGTCAACGGTGCACACCACACGCTGCCTGTCGTCCTGGTTGCTGGGTTCTTAGTGAGCCACGCCAGTCAGTCAATACCTGACTGCCTTATTACTTTTACAACCAAGATCAGGTGGCTGTGGGAAAAGTCAACCACGCAACCGCAAACGAGGTTCGTCGTGATAGGCCAAGCCGTCGCAGATGCCCGACAACTCAACAGCGAATGAGCCTGCACGTTTGACGTCGAGGAAAGGGAAACCCAGTCTCCCTTGTCGGCAAGCAAGAAATCCAAACCTGCCACGTCGTATGTCATCCCGCTCTCTCCACGCAATCTGACTCGCCTAGCACCAACTCCAGGGCCATGCGTCTGTCCGAGCTTCTTCGTCCCTCGTTTGCCTCGTTTTTTGGGTGTGCTTGTTCCCAAGTTTCCAGCAACTGCTTCTTACTATCCGTAGTCTATTAGGTAGGCAGTACACGACACCTATCGAATAAACTGGACGCCCTGCCCGGATCCCGAATCCAAGGAACCCCAATCCTAGCTTTATCCAACTATTACCGCCAACAACAAACCACTTATTCACCTCCACCGCCGGCACTAGAGCCCACGAACCCATCTTTTACCGCCCTCGTCCATGCACGTCAACGACCGCTTTTACCATCCGATGCCGTAACAAGAGTTCGACGCCCGTTGGACCACTCCTCGATCGAGATCGCGACCCCTCGAGATGCTTGTTGCCCAGCCGCCCAATCAACCTGTTACGTCTCTGTACCGGAACTGGCTCCTGTCTCGAACGACCCAGGCCTTTTTTCCCAACAGAACCGTTCTCAGGGTCCGCCGCCTTCGTCTCGTGAGCGAAACATTTGCCCAGAGCCAACTCTTCTTCGAAAGTCTTTACTTTATGTCGTGATACCCGGCTCCGAACCAGACTCCAGCAGACTCGGATGGCCGCCCACCGGACCTCGACGCTGCCGCCTCCAGAAACCAATGTCCGACACTTCCGGCATCCACCCGTTCGCTTTGTCATGACCGCCCTGCGCCCTCTGCCGCAGCAGAGCAGAGAACTCTCTTTTACGTCATTGACTGGTCGCCTTTCACTCCCCGCGGCTTCTCCAACATTAACATGCCGGCTGCTATACGCGCTGTGAATCTGACGTGGTCTAACGAACCGACGATGTTACTCCCCGCCGTTCTCGTCTGTGGACCAGTGGTCTGACATGTTCCTCAATCTAAAGGATCTTCCTGGTGTAACTCTGGATCTTGTGTTTCGACCTGTCGTCTAGATGGTGTGACAGCCGGGTCCGGGGTCTCTGGTATTCTGGAAGCCGTCTTTCTGATTCCATATTAAAGGCCTTGTATAGACCTCCAAGTTACCTGTCCACATGATGGTCGCTGCATCTCGACGCTCTCGCCCGCCGCGGCATATCTTGCTCAACCCTCTCATGTCCCCGATATAGTAAGTCCTCGGCACTCCGACCTCCGGTTAAGTAGCTCCGGCCTGGCGGTGGAGAAGGCAAGCAGTCTGATAAGCAGCATCTGCTTACAACTTATGGCTCACGTCCAAGTCCAGCGCCCCAATGGATTACAAAGATAGCCACGGAGACACGGAAATCCTCCATTCGAAACACGCTGTTGGACTAAGATCAGTCCAACCTTCCTGGCGCACTGAACTACGAGCCAGAGGTTATCTACAGAGTTCAACCTAAGCACTGGGCAGACTCTTGGACCCTGAACTTTCTTCAATGATCAGAAAGCTACACTTCGACATGCCAAATTCGTGAATTCTGGTGCCCATCTTTTGAACTCACGGACTATTGCCGGCGATGCCATTTCTCTTTGCGTATGCCGTAAGCTCTTCCGGAGTCTGTTCCGCTCCGGACCTACCTAGTGACCACCTGCTATCGCGTTCATGCACTGGGCCATAGCATATCATACCAGTCGATATCGACTGAATGCGCCCAGAAAAAGATCACGGCTGGAGGCGGTAGTTTGGAGTAGTGAAGACCCCCGCCTGAGCCCCTGGGTACATGGTTATGTACTCTTCGGGGCCAGTATGTAAAGGCTATGGTGTCCAATAGCAGTACATTCCTGCTTTAGTAGTACCGTAAGTGCGCCCACGCCTTTCTCGTGTTATCATTCGTAGTGTGGCCTTTATATCTTTAGCCGAAGCGTCTGAAGGACCGAATGGCGTCTAGAGACTAAAATAGAGGAATATTGCCTGGCTGATGCTTCTGCGGCACCAGCAGCATTCTTCTCCGTAGCTCGTCAACCGGGAAGTGTTTTGCAGCAATTGATAGCTAGCCAGTAGTAAATCTATCGAAGTAAGTCATGTGACGAGGAGTCTCCTCGTCACCGCGAAGAGCACGAGTGGCTCTCTCTATTACTACTTGTCGATTCGTCGACTTGTATTGTCTAGGTTCAGACAACAAGGACAAACCAAAAAAAAAAAGCAAAAGAGTTCACCCCCCCCGGTGGCGAACGGGGGCTACATCTCTTGGTGCACATGCTGGGATTTTTGGTCGACTCGAACTCGGGACCTCTGAGCCTTCACCGATTAGGCTGTTCGTGGACTTCAACCACTCCACCACCCAGCCAGTTTTGACCTGACCCCCAAGGGGGCGCCTGCTGGCTGGTGACAGGAATGGGATCGAGGGGTTCTATATGGGTTTCTTTCTGTGTGTATTCCATTGTTTATTCATCTGATATCGCGAACATAGGAAGGAGTGGGGATCGGCACATGACCTCTGGCAAGTGACGGGAGGCAGGAAGGCGGAGGCAGGAAGGCGGAGGCCTGGAAGGAGCGGGTCAGAGGCACGCAGGTCGCCATATACGTCGTTCGTCTTGCCTCTGACGGGTCTTCCAGCCCGTCAGATTCCGAGGTACCTTCCTGACAATTCTGAGGGCTTTCAAGTTACGTATTTAATATACGTGGGCATGTCTTCATCATCCCTACCCACCAGGTCGTCTGCTTCTACATAGTAGGTTAGAGACAAGGCTCATCCAAACAAGTAGCTTGGGAATACAAGCTTTGGTGTGCTGAAATAAAGAAGAAATGATTAATCCCTAAGACTTGATTGACTACCATGGTCTGCTAGACATATGGATTGCCAGACAAGAAACAGAAATATCGGCAGCTATAATTGTCACGTCACAAGACTCACTGGGTTTATAGACCTCGGTTTACTTTCATTCCTCGACTCTGTCATTTCCATGGGTCAACTAGTGTTTACTCAGAACACTGTCGGCTTGACAGTGCTTGTAATGTTATGGTGATCAACGGTTCTTCCCACTTGGCGAAACTGGTAAAGTAAGACAAGACTGTCAAATTAGCAAGTGCAGATGTCAAGAGGGGTCAGGCATGCCAACGTCGACGCCATCTCCAAGCTTCGTGTAGGCTAGATCTCGTTGACTCCCGTCTTTCCAAGCATAGCACGTCTACTTCACGTCACCAGATGAATCACTCGACGCCAAGGGGAAGCCATCTATCTACCTTACCTTGGGGATTAGGCATCTTGCTTAGAACCGTATACCTCCCAGGTGCGGCCAAGCGAGTGCCTCCCATCCCAAAGCCTCCGCCCCCTGCCCCGTTAGGAAGGCGCACCTCCCACCTCTACTTCCCTCCTTCCCCAGTAATGGTTGTCCAGGTGACATACCGAGCTACTTAAGGAGTCTAATCACAGTTCCTGTCACCAGCACCCACCGGGCCAAATGGCCGGGTGGTTTCGACTCTGACGCAGAGTCGTGTTATATGAAATACTCCGATGAAGCCGTGCTGGTCCGAGGGGCGCGCTGTTCGAATCCGAATAGGGGCGTGAATTATAAGGTCAGTATCCCCCCTCCCTCCCCTGTTTCTTTTTTGCTTTTTCTTTGTCTCTCATAGTTAGAAATGTTTGAGGGGATTACGCCATCTGAGAGAAGTCGTCTCCTTCAAACCAAGGCACTGCTTGTAATGATGAGCTATTATAGTTGCATCATGATTTGTTTATTTTCTGTATCTAATTCAGCATCTATTCCGGTTCGCACTACTCAGATCATCAGCCTAGAGTTGAACCATTTGTGACGAGCGTGGATGCCCTCCCTAGAAAGCCACGATGTCCTTTCTCCATCTCTGGGATATCGCCTATCTTAGAAGCTGACGCAATTGCTTTGAAATTCGTTAGATGGCACATTGTGCACAGAAAGGTAGCGTTTGATTTACCTGTAATTTGGCTGTCAATTGTTGACTTGTCGCAGGCTTTGAGCTCAGGAGACTCATGAGATCACGCTTCCCGTTCTGGATATCCAAGACATACTACGACAATGGCTGTCAGTAGTCTTCTTCCCTAGCATGCAACGTTGCTTACCTGCTCTATGGAATTGCTTATCACAAATCGAATGGTTGTGACCTCTTGAGTCTGCCCTATTCTGTGTATCCTCGCCAGTGCCTGCTCCTCAATAGACGGGTTCCATTGTGGTTCAAGCAGATAGGCTCTCGAAGCAGCAGTGAGCGTCAACCTATTTAGAAGACATCAGATTTCATGACATCTTGCGTGATAGTGACACAACTTAGCGCTAGTGAATGGGCTGGACATACCCGACAGCGCCGCAACCTAAGGACAACAAAAGTACGGACGGCCCGTCCGCCTTTGAGAATTCGTCAATGATACGACTCCTCTTGCTTGAGCTTTTCTTGCCATCTATCTTGGCGCAGCAGATTCCAGCGTCGTTGAGAGCTAGTTCTGCGACATCGAGGATGGATGTCCGGTAGGAAAATACAATGCTGGACTCCGTCAGTTATGTGATCTAGGGCGAGGAAGGCCTTGATGCTACCTTTTGGTTCCCGGAACGCAGCATTTGATATCGTTGACAAGGGCTTTGATCTTGGTCGGCCATTGATCTATGGGCATGGAACCACAGAGCATGCCGCTTGGTTCTTGGGTCCAGTTAGACCCAAGGTTAGGTAAAGGCGGACAGAAGCTGTCGATCGCTTCGGCAATGCTGCCATTCTGGACATCTTCGTCCTCCTCTCTTTCTCTTCCGGGTGTAAGTGGAGTTGACTGCCGATCTGGTGTTCTAGGCAGTAGTCTCGTGGAAGATGTAGGCTTCTGAAAACATCCCAGCTCGCAGACAAGCCTCAGAGCATTGATTTTCTCCAATGCGTTACTGTAGCTATCTTTCCCTCTGTGAGATGCCAGCGCGTTGTCGATAAACTCAATGGTCTTGATTTTGACGGCGTCGTACATACGTTGCTCCTGGGAGCTCAGATAAAGGTGCCGCCGGTGATCCTGTCGTTCTGGTAAGGTTATCGTGTCTTGCGAACGTCTCAGCATAACGTAGCCGAGAATTTTCTTCAGCGCTGCCGGACCAGTCTCTTCCCCGCGAAGCCAGGGGTTCGTTATGTCCCTGTCAAAGGCTTTCTTGTCATCATACGGATGCATCCCAAGGAAGTGAAATAAGCTGTGGAGCTCAGAAAGTCGGTTCTGAATTGGTGTTCCGGTAACCACCCACTTGCATTCACCTCTCAGCTCACATATGGCTTGAGCTTTTGCTGTCCTGAGGTCCTTAATCTCATGTGCTGTGTTGATAATTCAGCCTGCAGGTTGACCACGATAATTGAGGGTACATACCTTCATCCAAGATGATTCGATGCCACTCGTGTGAGAAAATCGGACTCTCATTGGTCTGCACATGAACTTTCCACTCCTTCGCAAGTGTCGTGTACGTCGTGAGGATGATGTCACTCGTGCTCAAATGGCACACATCTTTCAGTTGGGTTTTCGCGTGATGACGGCGCCAGTTGAAGTGACCCTCAAGAAGGTGTCTAGGAAATTTGTTACTCGATCACATACACGAAGCTCTCGGTCCGTAAGATCACGTACTTGGTTAATTCCTTTTCCCAGTTGTCGAGAACTAAAGCATAAATTGGTTAGTTCTGTTCAAGCAGGACTCTACATGTTCAATGACATACGTGAGAGAGGCACTATAATAAGGGTGCCACCAGAACCTAGCGAATTCGGTTTCTGTCTCACGGATTGCGAACCACTCTCCCAGAGCTTATCATGGGCAATAAGTGATATCATACTGAGTGTCTTGCCGAGACCCATGAAATCGGCAAGAATCCCGCCTTTGAAAGGAACAGGGGGTGTGCAACGAAACGACGAGTTGACATTATTAATATAACTGAAAGTAAGCTTAAGGTCAATGAATCATAGAAAGTAGTCTTACGTTGTTCGCCCAAACTCGTCAACATGTTGAGACCACACGTCCCCATTAGGCTCATGTAATCGCCAGCCACGTTCTCGTTCAAGCATAAACGTCAAGCCTTGCTTCTGGTGACTTATTTCAGTTGGTATGAGCATTTCTCCATTCCGTGGTTGAGACGTATTCGTTCTCACCTTTGCAGCTCTGTCCGAAGAAGATATGAACCGCTCGTCTCACGTCGCACAGTTGTTGAAGTAACGCTCTTCAACACGTCTATGGCCACCAGCGCCTCATCCATGCTAGCTGAGACTTCGTCCTCATCTGGAAAGACAGTTCGAAAGTCGGTCGTTCGACTTCCCGCCGTATTAGTGAAGCGTTGCGGGTTGAAGTATTCGACATCTGTTAGAGAGAAAGCTGGATCCTGTAGATAAAGCTCGGCTTCTTGCAGCGTACTACCAACTCCCTGGGCTATTTCCCGTGATCCGTATAATGTTATCCATAGTGATATGCTATAATCATCTACAACCTCTTGCTCAGCTTGCAGCCCGAGAATATCAATGCTGATGCCTTCGCGGTGAAACAACTCAAGCAACTCACGACCGTGTGAGCCCAAAGTCGCGCGGAATTCTGGGTTTGTTGAAGAAACCAGTTGCCATTCGTTGTCTAGAATTAGATGAACATTCGTTACTGGGGTCTTCTCAACGTCGGTCATCCATTGTGCGGTCAATGACGTAAGCTTCTTTGATTAGTCTTGGAGAACCTAGGTTTCAATGAAGCTTTATAAACATACCATTCCAAAACAAATAACTTGGTCCTCGAAATTGGGCACCTGAAGATCTTCGAATTCGCAAGCGAACCACTCAGAGTTAACCTGCGAATATTCTTCAACAGAAAAATTGTTGGTAGGCACTGGTAGCTTCTTCCTGGTCATCTGATTCTCATCTCCCGAGGCAGAAGCTTGGTATGCAACAGTAACTGACCCGGATGCTATCAAGTTCCCGTCTACTCGCCTTCGCTTTACGCCATGATGAGGATCCGACGACATTGAGGAGGTCCAGAGAGCAGTTAATGTGATACGACTGTCTCCCAGATTGGTAGTTACGGGATGCTATGTGCCTCGAAGCGTTAGACTGGCAATGGATGGGCGGTATCAAGGTAGATGGCTCTTATAGGGTACTAGCACCACTGCTGAATTGAACGTTGCAGGCAGGCTAGGCTTACCGCCGCCTTACCGCTTCACATAAACAAGGGGGATGTCAGCCTCGTGTGACAACACGCTGGGCAGTGCATGCAGGATCGCTGCACATTGGAGTGGTTGGTCGCGATGCATTGGCTGATTGGCACCTAATCTATGCCAATATTCGTGACTGCATTGCGCCACTTCAACTCAGGAAACAGTGGCTTTGCAAGGCATTCGCAAACACGGTCTTAGCTATCCTACAGCAACATATTAAGTACCCAAGCGTGCCCAATTTCTGGCACAACAGCACACCGGAACTCTCGGCGCAAATGGTTTGGATAATTCAACATGGCTCTTCTGCAGCTCCAAAGAGCATGTGAGCGCTTCCGGTCACACTTGTCGGACGAAGAGACGCGGCGAGTGGAAAACGTCAAGAGTGTGGAAGATGTTCGCGAGGCTATCACTCAAATGGAGCGCTATCTCGCCTCCCGTCAAAAGTTACGAAATTTCGAACGGCTTGTACCTTTTCTCGACGCAGCTGATCGTTTGACAAAACCCATCGACGTCCTATCTAATGGCGTTCCGTTCCTGCCTTACATATGGGTGAGTTCCTCTACCGAGAAAAAGTTCCAAGACGGACGATCTGATCATCAATATGATCTATCCAGGCACCTCTCAAGCTCATTCTCCAAGTGAGTTGACTCGCATCTACCGCTTGATTAGGGTCTTGGAATACTAAGGGTGCCGGTTCGCTTAGATATCTCAGGACCACACGCATGCACTGGATTTGATCCTCTCTGCTTATAGTCAAATTGGGGCCTCACTTCCGCGTTTCGCTCGATACGGCAATGCGTTCCCAGACAGCCACGATTTCCAGCAACTACTGGGCCACATTTACGAGGACATCATCGACTTCCACTGCCATGCTTACCGGCTGGTACAGAAGCCGGGTAGGGTGTCCCGAAGAAAAATACCAATTTCGCAAATTTATGCTCATTTGTTTTTAGGATGGGCAATGCTCTTCTCAACCTGTTGGGGTCGATTCCAGCATCGATATGATTCATTACTTGGCAGCATCGCCAAAACCAGCGAACTCATAGATAGGGAGGCAGCTTCCTATGAGATAGTTCAAGCTAGAGAATGGCGGCAAAAGCTTATGGAGGACGCGCAAGATCGAGAAAAGAAAGAAGAGATTCACCAGCGCGAAGCTGTCAACAAGTGGCTTCAAGTGAGCGACAGAAACGAGGAAAAGCTTGAGCGCCTTCACAACCGTTGTCTCGATGGAACATCTCAATGGGTGACTGGGTCACCCCAGGTTCGATCTTGGCTCCAAAAGGGCAGAGGAAAGCCGGTCTTGTGGCTTCATGGAAAGCCTGGCTCTGGTAAGCTGCGTCCGCTTTAACTCAGAGATACCGACTAATCTTCAAAGGCAAATCCATCCTATGTTCGCAACTCATCTACTTCCTCAAATCAAGCCCCAACTGGAATTGCTTATTTTTCTTTTGCGATTTTCATACTTCAGGCTACGGGGTAACCGTACAGGTCTTACGGAGCATATGCGCCCAGATTCTAGACCTTGTTCCGGAGACGGCATCGTTCGTGTACAAAGAGTGTGTCGTTTCTGGAAAAACACCTTCAACATCATTTCTCAAAGAGTTTGTCCCAAAACTTTTTGGGTTCTTCGAAGACTTGCGTCTGATCATCGATGGAATCGATGAGATTGGGTCATCGGAACATGGAGAACTGATCAAGACCCTGGCAAAGCTGGCAGAGACGCAGGGAAACCTCAGGTTGCTCATATCTAGCCAGGATATACCGAGCATAGCGAGGAACCTGAAGGGCAGACCAACACTGATAGTTGGGAAGCAGTCTGCGTCTGTTTGTAAGGATATTGGCTTGATTGTCTCAAGCCGCCTGGAAGCCATCAATGAAGGGCTAGATGGTCGAGTCCCCGAATCGGTGTTCACTGAAATTCGGGAAACAATCCTCAAAAGAGCAGAAGGTATGGGGATTCCCTTTTAACACGAAAAGAATTGGAAGGGCTGACGGAAGCGTAGGAATGTTCCTATGGGTTCACCTAATATTACAGGTGTTGGAGACAACTGACAATATTCAAGAGCTTATATCGAGCGCCGAGGCCTTTCCCAAAGACCTTGAAGAGGCGTAATCTCTATACTCTCCCCGATCTTTCGTATCGTAGCTGATTATAACCAGGTACTCGAAGATTCTCACAAGTATCATGAGCCGTTGTCAGGTAACAGATGTGTCGAAGTTACGACGAATATTTGGCTGGATGGTGTTTTCGAAGGGCGGCCAGCCGATGAGGAAATTTGAATTACGACTCGGTCGAGTGCTCCATGCCGATTCGACCATAATCAATGAGAGAACGAAACCGTTTCCGAACGTTTTGGATCTTTGCAAACCATTCATAGAGGACGGTCCAGGTGCAACCATGGTATTCATCCACGCCACAGTACCCAAGTAAGTGTCCCAAGTAGCCTGCTTCCACACCCTCAGATTGGTTGACGTCTCATGCGAGATTTCTCCAAGCCCAATCCAGTGGGCCGTTCATCAACAAGGAAGATTCTTGCCGAGATATCACAACTGCCTGTATTGCGCAGTTGACACAGAGCTTGGCTCTGGCCGACGAAGCCTTGGAACTCCAGCAGCATCTTTATTGTGTTGCACAGGGTTTCTACGGACTCCTTCCCTACGCTGATGAATACTGGATTGAGCACCTACTGGAGTACCTTGAGCTCAGTCAAGGGTTCTGCACACCCGATTCTTCGAGAATACAAGGACAACTCAAGGCGCTTGCTAGAAATTGGATCGACCTGGTGGGAGAAGAGTCCACGCGAACCTCCAATGCGGAAAGCCCCGATTCTCGTTTGCATTGGTTCGAAAGCCTCCCCTCAACGAGAGCACTAATTCAGGAAGCCCTCGAACTCCGCAAAGCAACAAAGGAGTCGGTTGGTATGTGTACAATTTAATTCTTCTGTGTTACTACCTTTGACATAACGCAGATATGCTAATTGATGATTCTAATTGTGCAGAGAATATGCCCTCTCCTGGGGATACAACATTACTATCGTCCGTCAGAACAAAGTATCACACTTATGTTGTCGCCCTATTAAGAGAGGCCAATTGTCCGGGGCTTTCAGCTCAGGATTTTATCGCATTTAAAGAAGAATACGGCCCGTCCGCATTCGTGTGTCCCATTTATGGATGCGACAAAGCTGTAATCGGATGCTCCTCAGTCTCACAACTGAAAGATCACTCAACGAGCCACCAAGAGAAACTGCGATGCTTCGAACAAGACTGCTTCTACAATGATGTTGGGTTTACCTCTCTAAGGCAACTCAAATACCACCAGAGAAGATGCCATCCTTCACCTCCTCTACCATCGATTCCTCGGCAGATTTCTCATACACTGGGCCAGGTAAGTCAAGCGTCTGCAACACCGTCAATGAATTCCAAGTAGAATCATCAAGAACTACCAGCCAGTAAAAGCAACCATGCTTCTCCGCTAATGATAGTGTTCTAGCAGAGTCCTCCAGAACCATCAGTGGATGCGCTGACACCCGCTGCAGCCGAGCAGACGTCCCAGGCGAAGCAACAACAGCTACCGGGAATGTCAGGAACGGGAAGTCTTCCTGACATTCCCGCTCATATGATTCAAGTGACGCCGACCGACATCATGAACGCTCGCAAAGCGAACCCTAAGATTGCGAGCCTCACAGACAATCAGTTACGAGACTTTATTATCCAGATCAAGAAACGGCAGATGGCCGCGGCTATGCAGAAGGAAATGGCCATGCAGAGGGAAGTGGCCTTGCAGCAAGTAAAGAGACAGATGATAATGGAGCCTGAAAAATAGCGAATCCATACGCCAACGCCACAAGCGCTGCGTATGCCTCGGCTGGCTCCTCCGCCAGCCACCATCGGCATCACGCCTGTCTGATTCGCACGACCAGCCCCACCAAGGTAAGCAGCAAAAGCAGTGGCGTTTGGGCCGGGATATAGATGGATGGGTGTGTCTAGACAAGGGTTGAAACGGCTGCAATAAGCAAAAAGGCATCAGAGACACCAACAATTCTTTAACATAGAATAAAGAAGCCCTGAAGGGCCTCGAAGTCCGAAGAGTAGAACTTTTGCAGATCATGTCGCAGTTCAGAGACCTTGAACTCGAGGTTCTGGCCATGCTTATGTTGTAGTTGTACTGCAGCCCCCAAATCATGTGTGAACCCCTCCTACGAGATGGACAATCTCAATATAAATATCATCCTGCACATCACTCCTCCTCTCCGTCCCACGAGTATTCTGTCTCCTTGAATAAGCTTCCACGGCCAACTGGAAGCTGACAGTGGGTGTACCATTTGCTGTTTTTGCCGGTACAGCGGAAAGGCTACGACTGATCAGATCCCGCGCAAGATCCCACCAACGGGCTGTGTGTCATTCCAGCTCGAGACTAATCTCAATCCATACCCCGACTGCCAAGATCGATCCTGTAGAAGGGAGGATGCCGAAGTATCCGGAGTCTTAGGATTGAATACTAGTAATCCGTTGCCAAAGAGCTCGTGGACCTATTGGTTCACCATTGTTATGTTCGGACAGTGGAAGGAATCACAAAAGCCCTCGCCTATGACTTTAAGACCTTCCCAGTGCTGTACCGGGACGAAGGCGCACAATCAACGTGGACCATAATTTCTCACACGACAAGAGAAATATGACAGGACTTGAAGACTGTTACGCCGTTTCTGGCTCTCATAGACACCGTTGGAGACGTCTAATAGCCCGGGACAACGATCCCCTTTCTAATATCTGATGTCACAAACCAAGGAATCTAATAGCTAGCCAGTCTATAAAGTCAAGGCAGCTTCTGAATGGCATCATTACTCGAAACAATTTTCTTCGAATCTCTCACTTGGACTTACACGAAACGGAAGCCCGTCTAAGCGCAAGCTAACACGAAGCCTGTGCGACATCCCGACATCTGGAAGACAATCAGCCTCTCTTTCCTCTTACCTCCGACTCATCACACCTCACAACATGCTACAGTCATAAAAGGCACAACCATACACACAGAATATTGATTATCACTCCATATTTATCTCATACAACACCGCTTCTTCTACCTTAATGTCGACAGGTATCATAACCAATACCAAGTAAAAAGGAAAGAGCACCGATCCAAATGCAGCACACCAACCAAACCATGCAAACGCAAACAGACTACAGCTTACAAAGAGAAAGTGAGCAACATCTCATGAGATGCTCCATCAGTCAACGCTTTTCCTCCCCACTTTACTTCACAAACCCCATCCCCCTTTAGATGAGCTCTTGTCGGATGGGCTCCCCAGTGGCATTACCGCTGTTGAGCAACCCCTTGCCCGCCTCCATCCTCTCGATAGCGGAGCGGTACTAGAAAACCACATTTTAGTATCTTCACTCACGAATCACGTTTGTAAAAGTTCAAACGGAAGGGGAAACTTACGGCAAGCACAAAGTTGATCACCAGCGCAGCCATCAAGGCGATGCTGATAATCAACGGCCCGACAAGGTTATCGAAATCCTTGCCGCTGCGGCCGATAATCATCTTCCTCCGCAGCCTCATCATACCGTAGCCCCAGATACCCGCAAACACGGCGATGCAGATGTACACGATGCCCATGACCTCGGCCAGGAAATTCTCCCCGGCGGCCGTGTAGAGCGACACTGCGAGCGCGCCGAGCAGGATGCAGATGTGCTGCCACTTGAGGAACGTGCGCTCGTTGGCCAGCCACACCTTGGGCTCAATCTTGAGCTCGCCCGAGTTCTTGATCCACTCGGTCGGCTCCACGACGCCCTCGGGCAGCTGCTGCTGGTTCTTTTGCGCCCTCCGCGCCTGCGAGTACTTGGACAGAGAGAAGCCGGGGAGCACGGACGAAAGCGTGCCGTAGCTCCTCTGCTGGCCGTTGGAGCCCTCGCCGTTCTGGCGGCTCGACGACTGCTGTGACTCGTCGTTGACGGGTCTCGACTGGGAGCGCGAGCTCTCGGCGGCCATTCTGTTGGCGAGGTACGACTGGCCGGCCGGCGAACTCTTGGATATCTTATACGAGCTGACCTTATTGCCCAGAAAGCTGCCGACGGCCTGCTCGTCCTCGGCTCTCTGCGCCTTGCGCTGCTCCTCGGCCTCGAAAGCCACCTGCGGGTCCTTGCGGATGTCCGCCTCCAGATCGCTCAACCAGAAGGGCAGGTTATTGACAAAGTCCTCAAACAAGGAGGCAATGCCGTGGACAAACTTGGAGAAGCGAGGCGTGGGGTGCACCAGGTGGGATGCCATCAGATCCGTGATCCACGCAGGGCGCTTACGGTTGGGGTCCTCTTTCAGCTTGATCTCCAGAATGGCGTAGGGGAAACGGGAGACCTCGCTCTGGTTGATATCCTTGAACGGGTACGTCAGGTTTCGACCGTCAATATCGAGACGGTGCCATTCTGCTGGGTCGCGGCACGGCCTATCTCTGTCCAGCGTGTCCTCCCGGATGAAGGCTACCTCTGTGTCGATGGAGATACGCACGCGGTCGTCCGCGGGCTTCTGGAAAGCGGTGCGAACATAGTTTGCGCGCAAGACGGGCTGTAGCTTGTTCTCTTGCATGAAACCCTGAAGAGACTCGACGGTGCTCTTGAAATTCTCAACCACCTCCGCCTGCTGGCCCTGACGCTCCATCTTCTCCACCGTCTTCTCCATCTTGTAGGTGCCGTCGATGAAGGGCTTGATATACTTGTCCTTAATGGGAAACTTTCGCTCCTCGCTGGATCCTTGTTCTCCAACAATCTTCTGTTCGAGGAACAACTCAGGCTTCGCACTCAACTGGCCATACCAACGTACGCGGAGCGAGGACGCTTCCGCCTTGCGCTCCACCTTCTTCCCGTACAAATCGAACTTTGAGTTATCAAAATAAAGCGACGTGATGGTCGGGTCATTGCTTCCATCCAGCTCCTTAGCGGACTGCTCGCTGTAGACAAGGGCCGGAAGACGTCTCATAATATACGTCTTGACCTCCAGTAGGTTATCCGGGTGGACCCAGAACTTGTGGGCGGTGTACCGCTCGCCGTGCCGCGTCTCTCCTTGGCTCTCAAGATCCAGTGGCTGCGCATCGCCGGCGCCGTCGTCCAGCTGCTGCCGAATAGCATAGTACATGATGGACAGCTTGTTGAGCAAGGGCGAGTAGCCTTGCTCCGAGTTGAAGGGCCGTTTCGCCAGGCTCAGCTGCATCATCGGTCGCACCTTGTATCTATCGCCCCTCTTGCGGTCATGTTTCTTGACGATCTTGAGGAAACCAGTGTAGTTGATGTTGCTGTACTTCTTCAGCTCCGAGATTTCGGTCGTGATCTTGTCGAGCTCCGTCTCAATGTCCTTCAGCTTCTGCGCCGTCGCAGCGTCGGGCTTCTTGACCTGGTCGTTGTCCGCCCCTTCATCCTCCTCACTAGTCGGCGGTGCCAATTCCTTGAGCTTCTCAAACGCGGCTTCGACTCGGTCTTTCAGAGCCTTGAAGGTCTGCTCCTGAAACGCGGCGACCTTCTCGAGTTGACCGTTGAAAATCTCGTCGCAGAAGCGGTTCTCGTCGTCCTCTGTCCACGCAACATCTTCGTCATCGTACTTGTCTTCCCGCAGAAGCGACTTGAGCTTCGCGTAGTCGATGTACTTGTCCTTCCATGGCGCGTACACGGCCAACCGCAGTGTCTTCCCAAAGCGCATCGCGACGGTTGGTGGTAGATAGGGTCCGAGGTTGGGATAGACGGGAGTGTCGCTTCAGTCGCTTCGATACGGGATATCGGAAGTCGCGGATGCTTTTGAACCCCAAGGATGACAGAGGTGTAAGCTGGGAAGTCTGGTCGTGAAAAATCTCGATCGAGTTGGTCGAAGGGGTAGGTCGTGACTAGGAAAAAAACAAGCTTCGGGTTCGGGTGTAACGAGGCAACGCTGGTTGATGTGGCTGGCGCGCGACAGGGGATATCGAACGAAACCCTCGTCTTTTTCTTCCTTGCTTCGGTCCTAATTCTTCCTGCTCTTCCCGTCAGGCGAATTCCTGTCGTCTAGTTCAAGCGCAGAAGTGGGAATAATCACCAGTCTAACCAGAGAAAAAGAGGTAAGGTCGTGGGTGACAGTTGAAGAAGATGGTGTTTGGCACCTGCAAGAAGGCGAAGCTTGGCCTGTGTTGCTCGCGCGGCCCCACCACTCTCCCGTCCCAGCACCGCAAAGTTCCACAGTCCCGTTACGTAGCGCCGCAGCCATTGTCCTATCAACAGCTGCACTGAGAGGCACGTGTGTTCGCTACAGATGCAGCTTTGCAGCTACGAAACCCATCCGGTGGGGCGCCATCGATTGATGCCGAAGGTATGCGAATTACTACCTCACATATGGCCGCATCGGCAGGAATACTCCGATTTAAATCACTTTATGACATGGGGTATTGCAGAATGTGAAATCGTCGTTCAAACTATTTCGTTTTTACTCATGAAAGAATGGCTATTCTCATTATCCCTTCAACTCCTGTTACAGCCCTTCCAGTTAAAATTCAAGTTCCGTTACTGCAGGCCGTAAATGCCCCTTCACCCAATTCCCGAGGCCGTCTAATCGTTTCACACCACAAAACCCATTCCCAAAACACTTCAGTTGTTGAGCCACTGGTCGAGGGCAGCATCAACCTGCTTCCGGTACTCCTGTTGCGTCTTGCATTGATCCAGGAACACCTTGTACTTGGCATCGAACAAGAATTTCTCGCCCTTGAGTGTGCCTGGCTTCACGAGGCGGCCAGGCTTGCTCATACGGTCCATGATGGACCACAGGTTCTCCGTTGTGCCATCCTCAGTCGCGGTCGCCGCTTTGGCGCCCAG